TATAACTTCACCTGATATCTTCAAGTGTAAAGGTGTGAAGCATGCCACCATTTATAAGAATCAGCAGCAACCCAATGAGTGAAGCCTAATTTGTGTGAACAGAAGGATTTCGTGTTCATCTTGCACTAACTTTGTAATCTGTTGTTTCTTTACTACTTACCACTTTATTACTTGTTCCGCCCTTAAACCATCGTTAAACATTGCTCATAATTCTAAAACTTTTTACCACACATATTTATTACACACTAATCGCCTTTCTTAGTCTACCTTTCACTGTTTTACCATTATTTTATCACCTTATCAAACCATGTCTATCATATCTTAAATGATTATTGATTACACTTTATCAGTAGTATGTTGAATTCTTGTTTGGCTTTATCTGGGTAGAATTTAAGATGTGATTTGTTATGTTAGTGATAATTTTTCTGTAACAAATAATTATGTCACTAAATATATCATTTTTGTTCTTATGTTGCTGCATGGGTGTAACAATACTTCATTTGTGCTGATTGTACCACTGAACCATATCGACTTATCAACATTCGACAGTGGTATATTAAATGACCAAACTGTATATGAATTTTTAATTCACTTCGTATGTGGAAGGTTTAGGGCACATAGACAGAATATGTAGGTGAATTCAATTTATTCCACAATGTTTATTATTCTTGCATTCTTAAGTATTGTTTATGCTGATATCTTGCATCTGTCACCATTGTTAACTGTCATTTTTGGCGATCATGATAAAAGAATAATTGTGATAATGCCTTTATGTGAACACAGTAATCTATGCATATGTTTGCCATTTTTCAAATTCTTGGGTTTATTTCGTGAAAGAGTTTCGACAAATGCCCGGAAAGCAATAGAAACTTGTAGTCACAAAGTGTGACTAAAATGACTCAAATAAAATGACAGTTTGGAATATTAGTGAGTGAGCTATTGTACTTGTATGAGTAATTTCTAAAGCGCATGATAATTCTCAGCTTGTTATGTTCCTTTTCAGCAGATGAATATCAGTTAGCGCGCATTTTAATGAGAAGTGAAAGTTCCTCAAAGAAGCAGTCTAGTTAATTTCAGATTTTGAAGAAGAATTCCAAAATAAGATTGGAAATGAGCACACAATAAGAACAATGTCTAAGAACAACTTTCGTTAAATACGATGAATTCTTCTTATTTTGTAGGGATTCGATCTGTTGTATAGAGACAAAGTAATGAAATGGATGGGCGATCACTGTGTTATAATATAGAAAGGTCTGCGTATCTACTTTGCCCCTTGCTTATCCATTTAGGATGACATTCGGTAATCCTTTGTCGAACATGCTCAGATTTGTTTAAATTCAGTGGGACAACTAAACACAGGAAAAACTTGTGTTCTCATTAATGCCGTAATGAAAATTACGAATTTTATGAATTCACCTACTCTTTTCCAGGCATTAAATCTGAAATACATACTGAGCCACAAGATTTTCAGAAATGGACAATGATTAGCGAATTGAAAGAGGCTCTGGAGGATCGTGTTTAAAGTATACTGACCACATTACATGCGCTCGAGTCTCTTTTCTTTTAATTGATGATACACAACAGATGTTTAGATATTAAATCCATGTTGACTGTTGTGTCGTAAACGATACAAATGACGAAAGCTGTGAGAAAAGTTGGGTTATAGTTTGTTCCACTAATACAAATTGGAAAGGACGAATGGTTATTGAGTGTTTAGATCCAACCCCAAAAGTTAAAGGTGATCAGGTGATATAATTAGACCTCAAAAAAACTACACATTACTAAGAGTGATGACTATTTACGAGAATACTATTAGCTAGGATAAGAACTATTTTAAAAGTCCTAATAAACAATATGTTTCTAAAATATAATAGCAAGTAGTGTTTCCATCACTTCTATATAGTTTTTCGATGTACTAACTTCTTTTATTCCAGAATGTCTTATCTGTTTCATGCTGCTTTCAACTGTAAAGTAACAAAAGCGTAAAGTTAGGTATCTTTTAGTTTCATATTGACTTTCTTCGTACTGTTTTCAATACGAGAATTATAACTTACTGCCCAACATGCTGTCCTATCAGTTACTTATTTTGTAGATGTCATTTCCTAAACCTTTGAAAAATTATACGTTTCATATTAGATATTGTGTTGTCCTGCACCTATTCTCATAGATTATGTCCATTTACCATTTAATTCAGTCACCTATTACTGTAGGTTATTGGAGGAATTTATGTTGATTGTCGTAAATATTTGTCCTTATTTAGTTGAAATACTTACACTGAAGAAACAAGATTGGAAGATTCTACCTTTTTCAAAATGTCTGGTAACATATGATGCAGGGTTCTTTAGAAGATTAAAGCACCATTTTCCTGAAGGCTTTTCTGTATGTTCAACATTTCCTTCAATAAAAACGCATAGAATTAAATTTAGAAAATTAAGAAATTTCATACATTTGGTTCCCTTAACAAATTTCGATGGAGAAGGAAAGACAGATTTGCAGATCTGTTCTTTCTTTCACTAACTTAACAAAAAGCCTGTAAACGAAACAGTTTTGCAGAGAAATGGTGACGAAATATTGTATGTATGCATCGAATCCTTATCAACCTCATTCAGTGGCCTCACAACAATGCCACATATCAGATGGTCCACAACAGAAAACTCAGCGTTTCCTTTGAAGTGAAGACAAGAGCAAGGTAAACAAGACTGCTTGCAATCACCAGTGATATTCCTAATTGTTGTGGACTGTGATGCGTCAGACCATGTATGGGAGCGAGAAGAAAGGGATAAACTGAACCGATGAGAAAACCCTAGAAGACCGGGACTTCGCAAACAGTTTGTGTCTGAACTTATACAATCTTAAAGGTCTACAGGCGAAGAACAACAAGTTGAAAGAAGAACCAGCAGCAAAGACCGGGCTTCAAATGAAAATAGAGAAGAATGAATTGACCGAAACAACAACGATAACCTGCACCAGCCACTATTAATTGGACAAATCCAAAAGAGACTACTTGCTTCACTTATCTAGGCAGCGTCGCTTCAACCACAGGCGGGAGGAATGAGGATGCCAAGGCAAGTAACACCTTCATCACTCTAAAATCAGTTTGGAAATCTACCTCATTCAGCACAAAGAAGGAAATTGGGATTTTCGACACCAATATTGAGTCATTTCTCCTATACGAGTCAGGAGGTTAGCATGTCACAAGAAGCATTTCCAACAAACTTACTACTTTCATCGACAGATGTTTTCACTTCACACTGAAGATGAGGTGACGAAAAATGTCTAGCAACACAGAACGCTATCAATCCACTTATCAATACTTATTTCGAATAAATGGAGACGGCTTGGACAGACGCTGAGAGAAGCCGTGATTGATATTGTACGTCAAGCCCTCAAGTGGAATCAAAATAGGAAACGCCAGACTGGATGTTGAAGGATGACATGGAGGAGACCGTGTGATGGGGAGACGAGAGTTTGCTGGCAGTTGTAAGGCCAGCTGAAGGTGACTGCAGAGAATATGACAAACTGGAGATGTTCTGTTGAAGCCCTTTGTCCTACTAGGAACCCAATGGAACGAATATAATAATTATAAACATACTTTAGCTTTCCCTAAAGTTTTAGGCCATAGGTTCATAGGAAATCTGGAGCCCATCCAGTTGGTTGATATACAAGAGTAAGTGCACTATCTCATGGTACACTACTGGTTTCGACCGGCTGTGTGCATTCCTCAGTAATTGCGCACTTTAATCTTAGTTTCATAAATTATTTTAAAGCCAAATACTGATATAATTTTGTATCTATAATCAAAGGTACTTAGAGTATCTACCCCATAATTTTCCTTTCTTCCTTTCTTTAATCGACATACTTTTCTTTCATACCTTTCATGATTTCACGACATTTCTTATTATTTTTCTTACCTCAGGTTTAAGCATTGCTTTTCAAATTTGTTAGCGTATTTACAAAATCCTTTTCATTCCCTTTTATTAAATTCTACGTTAACCTATAGTTGTCCACCAATAGTACACTCCACAATCGTTAATATTTTGTCCTTATTTAAAAAAAAGTTAACCTTATGAATTTCAGCAACACAATGAGAAGACTTAAATTAAGTGTGTCGTGTAATCTAGTTGCGCAATGCATTTCGAACACTTTAAAAACATAAATACTTGTCACAGGAATTTATATGAGAATAAGAGAGTTAGGGGTGACGGAATACATATAGATTAAATTGAGAGGCTATATTGAAAGTCAAAATAAAAACGCAGATCAGTGAAATAAAAAGGAGTGATTGTAGCACATCTCAGTGTGACGATGGATTGTTTTTGAACACATAAAGGTGTTCTACGTTGCTTAATCTCTAGGACTCCTATTCAACTTTATGACACACCCCAAGCAAGTGGTAAAGATAGGTGTAAGAGAGGCATAAACATCAATTTTATGCCCTGCATCTGAACTACGTTTTGGATTAAAAGAGATACATCGTCTCTCTTCACCAGTAATAGGTTCAGGAGATTCGATTCAGCCCCGAAGGCATTTGGAGTTATGCTCTAAAGCCATTATTTGCAAAGATCAATGAGTCCTTCCTATGTATGTGTAACCAGATTGACATTTAAATTCGTAGATACCGTGTTATGCGACATCATTTTTCCTCATTTTCTAGGAACTCAGATAGAGTCTTGACCTTCACATTCTCAATCGTACAGATCTAAGCTGCATAAATTGTCTTCTGTTAATACTCCTTCAAATCTTTTTCCGGCTACCGAGTTGCCAAGATCACGCATGTAGAGTAGCCTGATATATGCATCTTTCTTGGTGGCGCGTAGGAGAATGTTCGCTTGTGTTTTGACCGCTTCATGTATCTTTATGAACTTCTCCAGATACGTACTTTCAATCAGAATGCCTATTGTTTGTCACTCTTTACCCCACATCTACAGTTTCTTAACTGATTTATTTCACTGTCTATAAACATTCCTATTATTAAGTTAGAGACCCCCAGATTCTCCATTATGATTATTGATGCCCCAGGTCATCGTGACTTCATCGAGAACATAATTACCGGTACTATTCAAGCTGATTGTGCTATTCTGATTGTTGCTGCTGGTGTCGGTGAATTCGAAGCTGGTATCTCAAAGAACGGTAAAGCCAGAGAACACGCCCTGTTAGCTTACACTTTGGGTGTAAAACAGTTGGTCGTGGCAGTCAACAAGATGGATTCAACAGAAGCACCATATTCTGAAGCTCGTTACCAAAAAATCAAGAAGGATATGTCCGACTACATTAAGAGAACTGGGTGAAATCTAGCTCTGGTTGGTTTGGGTACAACATGACTGAAAAGAGCACAAATATGTTTTTTGTTTTTATGAAAGCTTGGTACAAAGGCTGGGATTTGGCATGAAAAAAGATAGGAAGACTGAGACTGGTTTCACTCCTCTGGAAACTCTCCATAAGATGAAATCACCCACAAAACCTACAGTCAAACCCCTCATACTGCCATTACAAGATGTGAACAAAATCGGTGATATTGGTACCAAAGACTAGGATTGTTCTCTCGAATCAATTTTCATAGCTTTGGCTTTGTGCGAAAGGTAGGTTCAAGTTCCGATTGATAGGTTTGATGGAATGCGAATTATAACTTTGAAGGCACTACTTCTGTCCACTTGGTGACCACTATCCATCAAGTGAGACAAAATGTAACTTCTTATGGATTTTATTTGGCATTTTCCAAACCATGAAGGAAGATGCTCAATAATACGTTTGTTGAGCTGTCTAGTTGTTCGCCAAATATAGCTGTCTCCATAGGAGCAACTAAACTTGGAGATGCTCATAGAAGTGACATAGCTAGGCTGCTTGTCTTTCACTTGGGCAATCGTGATTGGCCGGCTGGAAAATGACAAACAACGGACGGCAGCAGTATAAGTCCGTTTTATTGCTCTCGATAATCTTAGATATAAGACTTCACTAGCCACGTCCCATTAATTTGCAATTTTCGGAACATTTGTTTCTTTTCAACTGCTGTCAGTTTATCTTTATTCTACCTGATGTTCATTTGTCTCCTTACAAATATATTAGGATAACCCATTCAGACCAGCGTATTTTGGATGTATCCTAATTCATTTTCCAGGGAGTCATCTGTATTGACCCATCTTGCTCTATTCGTGAGGCATCTGACCAAACTGACTTTGTATCGGATTGGTACAAAACCGAGGAAATGTGTATATTGTTTTATGCACGTGGGTTTTCTATGTACATTTCTTTTAAGTGAACCATCCACTCTTCTGCTCAATTAGACATCAAGGAAGTGTAGTCTACCGTCATGTTCTTCTTCACAAAAGAAGATGAGCGATGGATGTGCATCGTAAGATTTTATTAACATTTGATTCTTGTCAGCTCTCTCATCAAGAATTATAAACGTATCATCAACATAACGAAAATAGGTATTCTTTCTGTCTATTATTTGTTTCAATGGACCGTCTTCAAGCTTAGCAAGAAAGAAATCTGCCAAAATTGTATACGACGGAGAACTCATGGAAATACCGTCGATTTGTCTGTGATAAAGGTTTTTGAGTGTGAAGTATACATTCATAGTAAATCTTAAAAGTAACTATTTTGGACTAATTATTTTAATTTTGAAGTTGAACCGTCTTTCTAGTACCTGTTAGCATATGAATTACACAGTCCCCAAAAGTGGTACATTAGTGAACATTGATGCGACATTCAAGGATAGCATTTGCTTCCAATTTACATTCATATCACACGCGTTAGAAATGAATTCAAAAACTTCTTTAACGCAATGATTTACCAAATTCTTATGTAATGATTTGAGGAGTTCAGTTAGCCACTTTGCCACCCCATGGTAGGTGGAATCAGCCATGTCTGGGACTGGGCGAAAAAGAAGTCCTGGTTTATGTACTTTGGGAAGAGCGTACAATCATGGATTATTACTTCCAGTAGGTTGTAGGCTGTCTCTGAGATTACTCTACTTTTTCCCAGATTCATAAGAGTGCCTGTAAGCTGATTTTCAACCTTTTCGTCTAAGTCTTTTGAGTTGTTAAGGTTTTGGTATTTAATTTCATCTGATAGAAGCGAATTCATTTTGACAACGTATTCACACTTATTCATCAGTACTGCTCCGGCTCCTTTATCAAGTTTGCTGATTATGTTTTGGTTGATCATTAACTTTCTTAGGGCTTCCCGAATTTATGAGGATTCAAGGGAACAATACGAGTCTTTGCATACAAAAGACGTTTCTTCTACCTTTGTCTCTCCCTTGGCCTAGTCAAAAACCATGCCACCCTTTCTTATTTTCCATTTCCTTCACACTTTTCTGATATTTATTTAAACTCTGATTATCTGCCCACTTCACCTTCTGTATTGCGTAACTTCTAAGATTTCACCTAATTTATTTATTGAATTGTCTACATATACACATTTTACTACCTTCAATAATCTTATCGCCATCTGCATAAACCTTATTATCATTATCTTGTTATCATTACAATCATCGTCATTAATGATATCAAAACATTTACCAAATTGTTATTATTACCATTATTATTTCTCTGTAGCAACCATATTGTCTTTCACACCACTGTCTACACTCATACGGTACAATTTGCATCTCTTTTTAGGTGAATGTATACAGACATATCAGTGGATTATTTAATTTCATTTTATCTTCTTTTATTATTGCCTACACATTTTATGGGTGGAAATAATTATCGAGACTCACTGTCTATTACTCCATCTCGTACTTGTCTCACAATTCCCTTTCAGATATTATTCTAATTTGCATTTAATATATATCGTATGCTGGAATTAATGGATTTATAATTATAGAACCTGAAGAACAAATTGCTGCAAACAATTCCCCGTTCTAATTATTATTATCATCTTTGCCTTTATTGTCATTATCATAATAGTGAGTAATCGTACAATTTTATCTGCACAAGGAGATGTAGTATATCTGAAACGTGTATTGTATTTGAGCAACACATTTCTAACATTCTGATCACACACATACTTGTCACATACAGTTATATGGAAGGCAAGACAGTATGAATTATTACGATGCAAGTCAGATTGTGTACCGATCAAGGTCACAACTAATGGGTAGGGAGATGACTCAAGGGTGTGGGTAAGAAATCACTCTCACCCAAATTCTGTGTTCCTCAAAATTATTTCTGAGAACTTCAACTACATGCATAATTTGAAAATCTGTATGAACAGATGAAACCTCTTTTTCCTATTTCTGATGATGATCAGGGTTGTTTCAAAGCAAAGTTAGTTGACATTGTTCACCAATTCTACAATGGTCGTACAATTCAGTAAAGTATCCTACCATCTGGTCACTTTAAAGCTCTATAAGATTCTAAAAAATAACACCGACACCGTCATTATCAGACCAAATAAAGGTTCTAGTGTAGTTATAATGGACAAAATTGAATACAGAAGTAGGATGTTATGCATTCTTGCAAAAGATGACAAATTTACTAGAAACTCCACTTCGAAAGTTATGAAAAATGTACAAAACAAGGTGAAGAATAATCTGGTCAAACTCTTAAACATGAATGCAATTAACAGAGAGAAATTCATTTCACCAAAGCACACGGATTCCCAATAATCACACGTGTACGGTCTGCCGAAAACTCATAAACAGATCCCCAACCTACAAACTTGCAAAGTGGCTAGTGGACACATTAGAACCTATTAGAAGAAGTTTCTGTAGGTTCGCATTGAAAGATACTTTCGAGTTAATAGACTGTCTTAATAATGTTGACATAAGGGATAAAACCATGTCTCCCCCAGACGTTGATTCTCTGTTCACAAATTTACCTCTGTTACAGACGGTTGGCATTTTGTATGATTATATCTCTGACAACAACTTCCTACTGCCATTGTTCATATCTTATTTAAAAAATGTTTTGCGTCTATGTACCAACAATGTTCAGTTTATATTTGAGGGCAGGCATTTTTGCCAGATGGGTAGTGTTAGCCGATATTTGCATGTTGCATGCTGAGAATTTAGCACAGGACGTAAGTGGAAAAGTTGATTTCCGTAGGAGATATGTTGATGACATCATATAGTCATTTGTGATAAACCAACAGATGCCACAGAAATCCTAAACCAAGTCAATAGATTATAAAACAGCGTATCTCTAACATATATTAAAAGGGAATAATGATTGCTTGCCATTTTCAGATGTACTTATAACCCACCGGAAAGATGAGTCAGTAAAACAATCTGTCTTCAGAAAGTTCGCATGAACGGAACAGTATTTAAATGATCATAGTTTCTGTCCACTACTGTATAAAAAAATTTTGGTTTAAGTATTTGTTCAAACTGATTCACCCTATATATACAGGCGACACAAATGAGAAAGAAACACAACACCTTACTGAAATATTGTTAGATAACAATAACTCACTGAGATTTATTAGCCGTCACGGAAGTGTCAACCATAGAGCTCTACCAATCCAGTCAGCTCCTAAAAAGGTTGTTTACATATCCTTGATGCTCAGGGGTGATCAACAAAGTCTGATCACTAGACAAAGACACAAGGCAGCAATTAATGGAACTTATTATGCAGCTAAACTTATCTTCATAGAGAAAACGAGAACTATGCTGTTCTGTAAACCGTCACATTATCCGAACGATAGTGTCACATCCTATTGTGCTTATCAATTTGCATGTATGTGTGCACACACACGTGCGTAGAGAGGACCATTTGGTCTCGACAGATTACGACAACAGAACACATTCCAAAGTGGCTATCAAACACAACTGAACCCGGAAATAGATGTCCAACATCATCTATACAGACGGGTCAACAATGCCTTTAAGCCCATGTTTGAAACAAAGTTGGGTCACATATTTAAATTCGTTCAAACCTTGACCATATAAAGGCCTAAACCTGTTTTATGTGTTCAAAAGTTATTTGTTATTACCTTAAACCTGCCTTAGTAATTCAATTTAGAACCAGCGTTCAATTTAATTCACGATATTTTCAACCCCTTCCCTGTTATTTTCTTTTTTCTCTTTCTTTCTTGCCTTTGTGTCATCTCCCTACTCACTATTTGTGACCTTCATTTGTACACAATTTGACTTGTATCGTAATAATTCATACTGTCTTGCCTTCCATATAACTATATGTGACAAGTATGTGTGTGATCAGAATGTTAGAAATGTGTTGCTCAAATACAATACACGTTTCAGATATACTAATAATAATACTACGTCTTCTTACTGTGTTGTCAAGATTCCTTGAGGGAATTAGTTGCTTTAAATTTCATCGGT